TAAGAGCGGTCCTCAATAGCACATAATCACCATCAAACAACAAACAATGGAGAGAAGCAGTGAGTTTTCTTTTTAAATGGACTATCGAAACGGTTAATCTCATTTCCACATGAATCTTGGAATGGTCAACTTTCAAGCTTCAAACAAATCTTGGGAGCTTTCAACACCGGGATGAGCTCTCAAACCTAAACCTTGCTTTTATACCAGGTTAACCAATAACCTATGAGATTTTACCACGGGTTAATCTCTAACTTAAACAAGCTTTTAATATCAGATTAAGTTTTAACCTAAACTTGGTTTTATCACGGCTAACCAATAAACTATGAGATTTTACCACGGGTTGATCTTGAACCTAAATAAGAGACTTGATCACACAAATTCCAAACCTAAGATTTTTACGGGTTTACCTTCGAACTCAAACAAACAATCCCTAAGTGAATAAAATGGTCAACCAAGGTGTAAACAAAAGTTCCTTGGTGAACTTACAAATATACGCTTCTAGAATTATGACTTCCTCACTCGCAAAAATACTTTCTCGAAAAACACTTTAGCTAAATTCTCATTGATAGAAAGTAAACAAAACAAAAGTTTAGAGAGAGAGAGAGAGAGAGAGAGAGAGAGAGAGAGAGAGAGAGGAAATGTATTTCTTCTGATGTGGTTTGTGAGCTTGATGTCAAACCAAATATGCATGACATTTTGCCTGCCTGAAGAGGTTTGGAGAACTCTGATGTGATTGAGGTATTTTTCTTTTGTGCGTGTAGCTCTGATATATGGACTGGGATAATTCATGATGGCTTTGGTATGTCCTTATGAACAGTGTTGTTTGGGAGAATTTATTTTTCTCTGCATAAGGTTGTTATCTCCAAGGGAGGTACTTACATGTGTTACTGCTGAGAGATTACAGTTTGTACATAACTTACATTGTCTAATGTAACTTGTGTTGGTTTGTGATGTCAGACCTAATGTCTTGACATTGTGCTTAAGCCGCTCAGCTTGTTGCTTTCTTCAACTATGTATTCCAGAGAGAGGTGTGTGTGCTCTCACTGCATGGTGTTCTTATTTGATCTTGTTCTATTTCGAGTTTTTGGACCTCTGGTTGATTAAGGATGGGTCTACTTGAGAAACTATCTTGTCTTTGTGAATCAGTAAGAGTCATTTTTTGTCTAAGTATGTTGTTGAGGAAGTTTTTGCTCTAAATTGTGTTGAATATTAGAAGATTCCAATGTCAAATGCAATGTCATTACAAGCTGATCACAATCAGTTGTTTCAAGGATTCTCTCTCTGTATAACTGAACAACATTGCTATGACTGGTCAACATCCTGTTAGGAGTGTTTTAGGAGGTTATATTAATGAATAGTTATATCATTTTCAGTGTAGGAGGCATGAAACACGTTTTTCTTTTGGTGCATGCGTGGTTCAAGAAAAGCGATTTTCAATGACATTGGAAATATCATTTCAAGACTACAGTCAAAGGTTGTAAAGATAAAAGGGAGATTACCTCTATTACCTAGGATGTTTTTCCCTCCGTTCCATAGTCATATTCTTAATTGTCCATGTGTTATAAGCAACTGTGTTATTCCTTGTTGTCGTTTCAGTCGTGTACCCAGTTGTGTTTCAACATGAACCAAAATTCCAAAACTTATGGTGGTACAAGGGATGGTGCGTTGGATGCAAATAAGGTTAAAAGTGTTGATTCGAAGAAGGTATAGTCTAATGTTGGGGCATTTGTTGTCTCATCTACTGGAGCATCTAGGACAAGGAAGGCATATGTGACAATAATGAGGTCCTTCAAGAAAAACCAAGACTATAATGAGGATGGTGATGAAGATTGGGTTAATTTCATTAACACAAGAGTTTGGAGTGTTTTCAGGCTCCATAGTTGAAGTTTTCTTGTGGTTTGTTTTGTTTGTGTTTTGGTTGTAATATGTCCCTGGCAACTTGTGTTTCCATCTGGTATTTTGTATTTGCTTTCATTTATACTATTTATAGTCGTTGCTACTGTGTGATTCCAGTTTTTCTTGTTTACACTTACTCTAGTGTCCTTTTGTCAATTTTTGGCTAAAAAGGGGGAGTAATGTGTGTTTTGTGATAAACCAGATGTCATGTGTGTACTACTGCTTGGGAAGAGTAGTTATGTTTTTAGGGGGAGCTGAGTTGCTCATGTTACTGTCAATGTTGTTGTTTTTGATGAGGGTTAATGTTGGGAAATGTTATGCAATATGATCTGACATGTTATGGTGATGGAGAATTGTGGTTGCTCTATGGTTGTTTATTACTCTGATATTTTGAGTAATATGTTTGGCTTCTGTTGTATGTGTTTCTAATATGTGTGGCTTCTGCTGTATGCATTTTTATGCCTTGTGCTTTGGGTTTTCCCCTTTGTGGGGAGTATTGGGTATGTGTGGCAGGGGGAGAAATAGACCTGTCTAAGGTTGCTAAGTTGAAGTTGTGATGCTGTGATGTCAGACTACATGTCTTGACATCTGATCACTGGAGATTGTAAAGGTTATTTTAGCCAAAATTTGTCAAAGAGGGAGATTGTAAGTTATGTGACTTTTGGATTGGCTGCACTTTGGTAAAACAACATGTTGTTAACAAGATGTTCTTGCCATGACAATCAGACATCATGTACTGCATGATGTTGTAACATGTTCTAAGACATGTTATACTAGATAGCTAGGGCATGGTTATTTTGGTAATTTGAGTGTGATTTTTTAGTGTGTTTTGATTAACATGTATGTGTTATCCAAGGAAGGATATTTTGGGAACTTCTGTTTTGACAGATTATGATGTTTTTTTTTGGAAAACGATCGTTGAGCCTTTTTAGGAAACTTTGTATTTTGTTCCTATTTTTGTGCAGGAAATTGTGTTTGTATTTCCAAGTTGATTCCTGATGAATTACGCCTCAAGAAGCCCAAGTCTAGTAGCTTTGAAGGCTATTTAAAGAAGACCTAATCCTAATGAAACAACGACTTTCACTTTTGTAAAAACTAGGGGAAGTTTTAGAAACTTAGGTTTTGAGAGTCTCGTGTGTGTGATTTTGTAAGTCACCTCTATATCGTTTGATGCATTATGGTAAACATATTATTTGCTGTATGTTGTTCTCACTCTAAAGCTTTTAAGCAATGAAGTTGAGTATTGTTTTTGTTTGAAGCAAAGTTAAGTATTGTTCTTATTCAAGAGTCTTGACCTAGTATTGTAATAGAAAGATGGTGCATCTTTCTTTTTGGTTTCTCATGGCATGCTCATTGGAATTATGACTGCTTGTTAGGAAGTGAGAGGGGGATCTCATATCTAGATGGGAATTTCTAGGTAGAAGTAGCACAAGGTAGTGATTATGCGAGAAGTTGTAAATGGGCGAGTTTAACTTTGACCTAATGTTATTATAATGGATTTCCTTCCTGCCTTGGATGTCCCCAGATGTAGGTGAGTTGCACCGAACTGGGTTAACAATTAACTATGTTATTTATCATTCTGCAATTTACAGTTTCAACATAATTAAAGATTGATAATATTGTTTTCGTCAGACTTAAGATGTCACAGCATCTGTCTTGACATTGTACTCTGATGTTGGAACATCAAAATCTCCATCATGTGTTTCACGTGCCAGAAAATTTCACCATTTTTAATTATTGTTTTAGATCTCAACTTCTCTTTTTGCATATCTCTTTTTTTTCTATTATTTTTTATTATTTTATATAAGTATTTTAAATTAAAATAAAAAATACCATTTATATTTTGAATAGTATGTATATTAATAAAGCGGAAAGACAAACACCTATAATAATAACAATGACAATTTTTTAATATCAACTTTCATTCTCTATCTATTTTCTCTTTTTTTTTCCTCTCCACCCAAATTGTATCAACACAAATAAATTACACATTAGTAGACTATAAGTTTATTATCCAATACGGTAGTAAAAAAACAATATCAAAATTCAGCGGGGAATAAATATTTTAAAAAAATTTAATTTCTAAAACTAGGCATGTTTATATTTTCGGATTTAAAAATAGAATGATTCACATTGTGAATTTTAAAAAATATAAAAATCATAAGTACTTTTGAGTCATAAAAATAATTTCAATTATAATAATTTTAAATTTTATTAACTTATGAGAGAAAATGGATGGTGTATTAACAATGCAAATTAATTTTATAATATCAATCAATGACGATTATGTATCCAACTAAATTAGATTAAAAGTTTTAAATTATTTATATAACATGACAAAATAATATATTTTTATTGGATAACAGTGTAAAACTTTACACTGACAATATATCTCTATTAAACTCTTATGGAAAAAAAAACAGACTAAATTGTTTTGAAATAATAAAGTAAAAATTTTAATAGTATAATTCTTATAATTTAAATTTGAACTAATCAATTTTTATATAATTGATTTGTAAATTGATACTCGCTCTAAGTTATAAACAGATATTATGTGTTACTAAATATTCATAGCATTCACTTATGCATAACACTATTAAACTTTGTGAGTGAAAATAAATAGTGGGTAATACGATAATGAAAAAATGATGATAAATTATTCAATCGATTATAAATGAGACTCTGATACTATTTTAAAATTGTAGTTAAATCTAATTCAATTTTATAAAATTTATCAAGAGTTAAATCTCATTCATATTAGATAATATACGATTTGAATATGTGTTTATAAATGAGAGGAATCATCACCTTACAAATCACTTTAGTATGAATGAGTTAAGTCAAACTCAAATTACAATCATCACCTTACAATCATCACCTTATAATCATCACTTTATTTTTTTATTATAATTTATTTTAAAAATTCTCAATATTTAATTTATAAAAATTGACGTGGAAGTGTAAAGTTTCATATTTTTGATTATGATTTATTTTCAAGATAAGTCGGTGGAGACAGTTAAAATAAGGTCAGCAAAATTTGTGCATATATATAGCAGAAGCTGTCTGTGTCTATCTATTGGTTAATAACATTACTCTCATCCAAAATGGCTGCGGTGATTAACAACATAACTGCTAAAAGGAAGAAAGAACAAGATGCTGATGACAATGTCTCTTTGTCACATAACAAGAAGCCACGTGTCGTCTGGACTCCTCATCTGCATTCAAAGTTTCTCGATGCTGTTCATGTACTCGGCTTGGACGGTATGTTGTTTATTACAAACCGGAGAATATACTTGATGTTTCACTCATCAATTGCTAATACAAGATTGTTCATTATTTGCAGAGGTTGTTCCGAGAAAAATAATTGCTTTGATGAATGTTGAAGGAATTACCAAGCAACATGTCGCAAGCCATCTCCAGGTATTCTTCTTCACAGTTCTTGATCATTCTTGATGAATATACATTCTTTATCATCGTTCTTTATAATTCTTGATCATTCTTTATCAATGTTGTTCACAAATTTTCATGATTATTGATAAATCTTGATGATTCTTTTTTAATGTTGTTGATAAATCTTGATGAATATTGTCTGGTCTGGTCCGCATACATACATATATATATATATATATATATATATATATATATATATATATATATATATATATATATATATATATATATATATATATATATATATATATATATATATATATATATATATATATATATATATATATATATATATATATATATATATATATATATATATATATATATATATATATATATATATATATATATATATATATATATATATATATATATATATATATATATATATATATATATATATATATATATATATATATTGTCGTTGTTATTTTCCCATGAGCAGCATGCATGTATATTCTTTATCATAGTTCTTGATTATTCTTTATCATTCTTGATCAATGTTTTCCCTTCCGTAGCATGCATGTTGATAAATCTTGATCATTCCTGATCATTTTTGATAATTCTTGATGAACAATGTTCGGTCTGCATACGTATATCTATATTAGTGATGAATATTGTTAATCAAAGCACTGAGTAAAATGTTGATTGTGATGCAGAAATACAGACTCAGTCAGAAAAAGGCTATCGACAGAGTTCCTTCAAAGATAATTGTTGAGCCTACTCAATCTCAAACCTACTTCAACATTCATCCACAGTCCTACAACTTTCCTGTAAACCAAACCTCAAGTTTACTTCTCCCTAACAATAAGCCTGTAGTCCATCAGTCGAACATGAGTGGAGTTGGAGTTGCTCCTTCAACCCTAATTCAATCTCAAAATATCAACATCCATCCACCAACATCCACCTATCCTATCTATCATCATACCCCTACTTTATTTCCATCTCCACTTGGATTTCCAACCCCTGCTAAGCCTGTAGTCCATCAATCGAACATGAGTGGAGTTGGAGTTGCTCCTTCAACCCCAATTCAATCTCAAAATATCAACATCCATCCACCAACATCCACCTATCCTATCTATCATGATACCTCTACTTTATTTCCATCTCCACTTGGATTTCCAACCCCTGCTAAGCCTGTAGTCCATCAATCGAACATGAGTGGAGTTGGAGTTGCTCCTTCAACCCCAATTCAATCTCAAAATATCAACATCCATCCACCAACATCCACCTATCCTATCTATCATGATACCTCTACTTTATTTCCATCTCCACTTGGATTTCCAACCCCTGCTAAGCCTGTAGTCCATCAGTCGAACATGAGTGGAGTTGGAGTTGTTCCTTCAACCCTAATTCAATCTCAAAATATCAACATCCATCCACCCCCATCCACCTATCCTATCTATCATGATACCTCTACTTTATTTCCATCTCCACTTGGATTTCCAACCCCTGCTAATTCTTCCAAAAGCACGAGCATTTGGGATTATCATTGGCATATAACGGAACCTCACTCACTTCTATTCCCTCACGGTTCCTTGTCGGTACTGGAGTCTCACAACACAAGTCAAAATACTCAAATGAGCTCACAACAGACAGAGCCAATTATTGTTGAATCTACTTCTTTGGAAGACACAAACATCATGGATTATAATTTATCATCACACATGACCTTAAAAATTTATTATCAAGTCTTCTTCTTAGTCCCGCAAACAATCCACCTGTACGAGGTTCCACTTGTTCAATGTAGCTTTCTATTTAACGTGAACCTTCTTTTAAGGTCTTGCGGACGGTCCAAAACAATTTTGAGATAGAAGTAGTTAATTTTTTTTATCTATGATCTTATTTATATTTAATTATAAATTAAATATACAACATAGAAGAATTTGAGTTTATCTCTATTTAAGAGAAATAGAATTTATCATATGACCAAACGTACTAGGCATGGGGTGCGATATCCCGTGTGGCACGCCGTCCGTTGTATGTGAGCTTCCACCGCTACGAATGAATCACATTAAGTGGCGTAGAAGTAATCAAATGTTCTATTCGCACTTCGTACCAATATAAGGGTGTGTTCATTTTGTTTCGTAAAAAAAGGTGTATTAATTTTTTATTAATAAAAAACAAAATTCGGCATCTCATTGTCACAACCCTGCAACTAGTTCGTGACCCAACTAATTTCCATTTGTTGCATTCATCAAAGCATTTACAATTTATTATATAAACATATGTGTTTAATTTTATTTGCCAAACTTTAAATAAATAAAACGTGGCTGGAATACAATGACTTTTTCATGGTCGTCCTTCTTTTTCGTTGTTTCACTCCATTTGTCATCGATCTTCTTTTTTCTCAGAATATCATTTTCCTACTATTCACAAAAAGATAAAACACGTCTTATGAAACTGTAAGCATGAATTAATATATATTAATAGTTAAATTTTTATTTACAATAATAATAATGGAGATGAGAAGTAACATTAGAAGCAAAGTTGGTGGTAGACCTTCGAACCAACATACCATATTGGGTATCGTATCGCTATTCGCTGCAATCGTGGAATAATGGAAAGGTACTTGAGACGTGTAAAATGCAAAATTCATGAATACTTTTATATTTTACAGGTGAAGGGTGCTATCATGATAATCATTTTTTAACAGAATTTGTTAAGGATGCGGTATTCTTGTACATATCAAAATGATCTCTTCAACTAACCAAAAACATGTACCATATTTTTAGGTTTGTCAACCATGAACAATACTCTCTTTCCTTAACTATAAAGTATTTTTTAGAACATTTGGTTATTTATAATATAAAATTTTCTACAAAATTTTAAAATATTAATTACTTTTCAAAATATATATTTTTAATATTAATAAATAAAATTAATGTTAGATATATTTATATCTATATATTGCTCGATCAAGTATAACTAATGATCGTGTTAAAATAAGTTAATGTGATATATTAAATTTATTTATTGTTATTAAATATGTTCAGATATCAAATAATATAATATTAAATTATGTAAGAGTGACATATATTATATGTATCATTTCATTTTTATTTCTCTCATTTATAGTAGGTTGACTATGATTAGTTAGTGTGTATTAAATGACAAAATATGAATATATGATTTTGTGTAATATACTTAATTATTTGTTGCTTTTTAGAAAAAAAATTGTTTATTTTTAATTGTCATTTCAAAGTTAAATATAATATTGATTGTAGTATTATCATATTGAGAGAGAAAAATTAAGTAAGTTATGAAAAATTAAGGATATTATAAATAAAAAATAATAATTAACAATAATTATTTATTATTTTCATATGTATAAAAAATAAAAGTAAAACATTTAAAATGAAACGAAAAGAATATATAATTATAAGAGACAGGAGAAAAATAATATAAAAAAAGAGATTCATTTTTTTTATGTACGTGTGTATCATAATAGAAAGAGTGGTTACAATTAATTGAATATATATATATATATATATATATATATATATATATATATATATATATATATATATATATATATATATATATATATATATATATATATATATATATATATATATATATATATATATATATATATATATATATATATATATATATATATATATATATATATATATATATATATATATATATATATATATATATATATATATATATATATATATATATATATATATATATATATATATATATATATATATATATATATATATATATATATATATACGCGCGTGTGCGTGTACATGTGTGTGTGCGAGCGCGTGTGCCTGCGTGTGAGTGTGTGTGTGCGCGCGTGTTTATTTGTGGATCAACTTATTTCAAGAGTAAGTTTTTTTTTAACTTACTTCACATCATAGCCTTTAAATTGAATATAATCTAGTGGTTAAATTAACAATTTAACTTATAATCATTCAATTAAATCTAATTTAAAGGCTATGATTGTGGAGTATGTTATAAAAACTTACTCTTGGAGTAAGTTGGTCTCCTATATATATATATATATATATATATATATATATATATATATATATATATATATATATATATATATATATATATATATATATATATATATATATATATATATATATATATATATATATATATATATATATATATATATATATATATATATATATTATCGCAGTGAAATTTGGATATCAAGCTATTGATTAGCTTGAATCTTAATTCATTACAACCAGTCTTTAATTTGTCCAAAGGAAGGGAAAAAGATCGAATTACCCACGATGCAATTGTTAGATGCCCAATTGTGCTTATTTGAGCTATCAAATGTGAGCATCTTTCGCTCCTTTTTGTCTAATTTCGGTTCAAACCCGCCTTGCTTTTGGTGATATGCGATATGATGTGAAATGCTCTTGGTCCTTTTAATTTGTGTGTTATTGTGCAGTATATGAGCATGAAAGAGTAGAATTTGAAGACACAAGAAAGTTGACAAAGGAATCAAGAAAGAACAAGAGCAAAAGCATGTTCGTTAGGCGAACATCTGGCGAGTGATGCAGCGAGTTGTTCACTAGGCGAGCCCATAGTGAGCTGCTAGCGAACACTCCCAGACTTGGGCATAATCAAAATGGCATCATTCGCTGGCTGCGATGCAGGTGGCGAAGAACTCGCTAGGCGCTCCTAGCGAGCAAGTAGCGAAGCATTCCAGAATCTTTTCCTCTGCCCTCGCTAGCATGTTCGCTAGGCGAGGCTGTAGCGAACGCTCGCTGTTAGCTCGCTAGGCGAACGAGGTCGCGAGCGTGACAGGACAACAACATTTTCTATAAGTAGCCCTATGTAATTTTTGAACATATACCATATTTTTCACTAGTTTTGCTGCATAAGAGATTTTGTGACCTAGAAACCCTTTATCTCTTATTTTCTTCATTTCTAAACATTATTCTACAAAAAGAAGGTGGATTCTCATCCAAGTTGGATTCTTCGGCTCGGATGTTCATCAACCTTCCTCTGAAACTTCTTTTGTAAGCTACCATGAAAATGAGTAGCTAAGTTCTTCGTTTTGTCAAGGTTAGATGTAGGTGATCATTAAACTTTGTATGTATGTGGATGATCTTCATTTGTAAACTCTTGGATGATGAATATATGGTGAAAACCTTGCTTTATCTATAACTCTTTGTGTTGGTTTATGATTGAAAGATATTTTCCAACTCTTGACCTAGGTTTTCATCCTTCTATTTTCTTAAGCTAGAAACAGTTTTGAATGTGGTTGTTCATGAAAAATGTTAAACCTAAATGTTGTCATTTTGATAGATTGTGTGAGAAATCAACAATGGATCAAAATGGGAAAAACCACAATGTGAGTTAGAAATAATCACATTGGGAGGATGTTGTGAATATGTTTATCATCTAAAGGAGTTTATGCGTAATGTTGATCAGATATATACAAGCAAAGTGATTACCGAACCCTAACTTTAACAATCTTTATTAAATCGTAAAATCAATCTTCTATCGCAATTCATTAACTTTTATGCAAGATACCGTTACTAAAAACCAAACCCCTTTTGTTACTACAAAGTTAAGAACTTGATAACTGTCGAACGGCGACAATATCTCAAATTCCCTGTGGAGACGATAACAAAAACCCGACACATTACCATTGTATTAACAAAATGGAGTCGTTGCCGGGGAGTTTGAATTGATATTGCGAGCATCGCAATAGTTGTTGAATTGTTAACTCTTGAATTTTTTGACTTGTGCTTGTTTATTTGTTTGGTTTAGTGTGAAACTTTCGTTTTATGCGAGGGCAGATTCTTTAGGACCAACTTCTTTTTGATCCCGAGATCGAGAGAACCGTAAGGAGACTGAATAGCAGAACAAGACGGAGGAGGCAACTTGCTCGACAACGACAAGAACAAGGAGAAGGTTCTTCTACAACACCACCACCTCATTTCATACCTATCATGGATCCACCACCACCACCCGTATCCACCCCATGTATCAACAGTCCAAGAAACACTGCTCAGTTTGCAACCACACGGGAAGGCAAGCCGAGATGAAGACCGGAACTCTCAACTTGTTATACAGAAGTCCATTAACCGGAATGGACCATGAAGACCCCTTTGCTTTTCTCACCAAATTTTACGAGATAGCATTGGCGGCGGGAGTTGATCAAGCTCAAGAGCTACCATTTTTCAAAATACTTTTTCCACATGCTTTGCTCGGCAAAGCCAAAGATTGGTACTTGGATCAAACATCGGCGGTCATGACAGATTGAAATGTGTTGGAAGAGAAATTCATTGAAAGATTTTTCTCTCACAACCGGTTCATGGAATCCAAAACGACAATTTTTGTGTTTTCTCAAGGAGCCAACGAATCATTGAACGAGGCATGGGAAAGATTTAAATCCATGCTTCGAAAGTGAAAAGGTCATGGCTTTGATGAATTGACGCAAATCCATATTTTCAAAAACGACCTTCAACCAAACTGTAAGACTTTGTTGGATGCCACTGCGGGTGGTTCTTTGTTGTCTAAAAGCACCGATGAAGCTACAGATATCATCAACCGTATGCCTCTAAATGACCTTCAAAGCCAAAGTAGAGGAAACACTTTGAAGAAACCGGGAGTGCTTGAACTTGGGACAAATGATGTTATCCTTGCACAAAATAAACTCATTTCACAATAAGTGGAACTCTTAACTCAACAAATCAAAGAGATGAAAGAGCCCTCGAAAGCTAAACAAATAGCTTGTTGTGAGCTTTGCAAAGGTGAACATGATACCGGATTTTGTCCACCTCCCGGGTTCGAAGAGGTAAACTATATGGCGAATAAACGA